TGTTTTAAAAAGGCTTGTTTTAGTTATTCCTGGTTGATGTGAATCAGTTCATAAGTGGTTAAGTCTTTCACCCGGTAATCCTCAAAGGACTGGTCGAAGCTGAGGAGATAAACAATTTCTCTCTCTTCCTCTCACGTTCTCTCTCCACACAATCCTTCCCTCTGCATGGGATTACTGCTAAAAAGCCATTTAGTTGTCGTCTACTGTAACGTACAGTTAGCTGAAAATGCCTCCTTCCTCCTGATCCTCTCTCCTCAGCTTTTAACGGATGATTTGCACTCAGTGTCAGAAACAGCTCTTGCTATAGTGTAATCAGAGTCAATCAGAATCATTTATTTATCCCGAAGGGAATTGGGTTTTGTGACAGTTGCTCTATTTTAATCTAAAATAATATCAAACACAATAATATCAAATAAATATTTTTATTAAAACATGAGAGGTTTAAGTACAATGTCGAACATACGAAAAAATTAAATAGAAACAAAATATTTATATATTTGTTTACATTTATTTGAAAATGTGCACATTATCCTACAACATAAACCATGTTTATTCCAATAAACTGCTGATTGTGAAGTCATTTCTAGTGCCAGTTAACTGGAAGAAAGAGATTTAAATCAAATTAAAGTGAAGTAAAGAGAAGCCTGTAGAACATTTCTTCGTTTCCTTAGTTTTTTGCTTATATGTTCAACCCAGTCTCACGGCATTTCGTGTTAGTCACGAAATGTAATCTATTGATTCGTGTCACACAGAACGATTTTAAAAGCAATGTATTTCTATTGGTAGTATGTTTCGTGCCTGCACCAAATAATAACAAATTAGAAGGAACATCTTTTTTTTTAAATACAGATTTCAGTATTCTGCGGCTCTGAGCCATTTCTTTTCCTCACGGACGGCAAAAAAAGTCCGACATTATACTATTTAAAATAAAAACAATAATCGTGGCTTGATATTGAGTAAGAAAATGTTTTTATGAACCACACAGCTTCCGGTCTTCCGAGACCCGACCGGACAGAAATACGTTACGAATCAATAGATTACATTTATTTTGTGACTATAACACGAAATGCTGTGAGACTGGGTTGATATATTAGTAATGTGTTTACTCTCTGTGTCTGTATTACATGAGATGATGGCACTGATTATTTGACCTCCCGAGGACAAACGTTGCCGTCTTATATTTTGGGATTGGCTATAGATGACTCGCCGGGTTTAGTAACTGATCTGAAGCCAGCAGATGGGTTCGCAGCTTAGGTTGTGATTTACTATCAGGCTAAATTAAATTAAAGGGATAGTTTGGAGGTTTTGAAGTGGGGTTGTTCAAGGTTCTTATGAGTCAGTTGGGGTGTAACGGTTCACAGAATTCACGGTTCGGTACGTACCTCGGTTTTGGGGGTCACGGTTCGGTACAACAAGAAAAAGCAAACAAAAGTCCCAGATATATAATTCCAGGTTTGTTTTTTCAAGTTTCAGTTTAAAAATAAGGAACTCTAACATTTTGAATAATGAACTTTATTACACAGTTAAAAACAAACCACAAACAGTACCACACACACTCAGATGGCCGTATTATCTATAATGGCTGAAACAAAAAGGTTTCATCAAGCTGGAAAACTAAAAAGAATGTCTTGAAAATATTACAAAATAAATAATAAGAGAGTGTTTCAATCACTTTCAATCACAATCAATACAAGCCAGGGTCCTCTACTATTGCATAAGGGCTTCTTCTTCTTCTTCTTCTTCTTCTTCTTCTTCTTCTTCTTCTTCTTCTTCTTCTTCTTCTTCTTCTTCTTCTTCTTCTTCTTCTTCTTCTTCTTCTTCTTCTTCTTCTTCTTCTTCTTCTTCTTCTTCTTCTTCTTCTTCTTCTTCTTCTTCTTCTTCTTCTTCTTCTTCTTCTTCTTCTTCTTCTTCATTTGTTGTTTAAGGGCGGCTGGCAAACAGCTTTTAGGCGCAATACCGCCCCCTGGATTATATATAGTGTAGTGGATGCTGCCCTGAATGACAGACTTTTTCCCCACCCGTTAAAAAAAAGGCATATTCGTCGTGTGACTGCGTGTACGTCACGGTTCGGATACCGTTACACCCCTAACAGTAGATGGCCAAGTTTGGAGAAACAGACAGAAATACGAGCACAGAAGCTAAGCGTTATCCTGCTGTGGCAAAACTAATTTTAAACAAAAAGGTTAAAAAACTGTTTATATTTGAGCTATATTTAGTATATTTTCATCTCTTAACCTGTAGTCAGACAGCCTTTTCAAACGGGAAACTGAAGCAGTTCAATGCTCTCTGAAAAGCCACCAGACTCCTTTGAATCAAATAGTTTGCAGAATAAAGGAGTTGCAAATCTACTCATGCCACAATTACAGTAGGTAGTTTGGTTATGTTGTGATGTGACATTCGTGTCTTGGAACTCACTAACAAAGCAGCGTTAGATCAGCAACTGTGTGTTCTGTGAGGCAAACTGTTTTTGTCAATGGAGTCTGGTAGATTTAAAGATAGATCCCATAGACTGTTAAGCTGTTTTAAGGCAAGGTAAACCAGTGAAAATAGTCTAAATATATATTGACACTTAAACTCATATTTGTCTATTTGGTGATCCTTTGTTTAAGGGTTGCTAAAATGTGTTTTGCATCCACAGTATTTGCTTCCTGCTGCTACTCCTGTCTGTTTCAAACCAAAGCTGTAGGTAATGCACTGATTAGAGAAATGTACCCAATTTAAAACCATCCCTTTAACAATCAGTAGCAGTCATTTCTGTACATCTGCAGCCAGTGTTGTATGACCATCTGTGTCCTCTGCACTTTAATGTGACTCATCAAACCTTAGCAGTATTTCCTCCCCTTCCCACTGATGGAGATTACTGCTATCCTGTCCTATAACCATTAGGAGAGAGGATCTGACCTTGAACCAGAGCTGTTTATAGCTGTTCCTATCCACCAGTAAGGAAGCCACTTCTCGTGCCCAAACGGTGCTTTCAATGGCACTTCATTCATGATTTGTTCATTGATTTGTTGCTCGTTGATTCAATTGCTTCAAATGCTCTATTGCTTCTCCCACTGATGTGAAGTTGTTTAACCCTTAAATGGTTTCTGTGTCCTGGGGGATGCAGTCATAAACAAGCTTTGTCCTTGTGTCAAATGGGTGAAATAACAGTGTAATATAGGGGTAATCACAGTGTTACATGGGTGTATTAATGTGTAAAATAGGTGTAGCAACAGTGTAATATGGCTGTAATATAGGTGAAATAACAGCGTAACATTGGTATAATATGGGTGTTATACAGGTGTAATAATAGTGTAACACATGGGTGTATCAATGTGTAATATGGGTGTAATATAGTGTAATAGCAGTGTAATGTGGGTGTGATAATAGTGGAATATAGATGGGATAGGGGTGTACGAACAGTGCAATATGGGGGTGATAATAGTAGATTATAGATGGGATAGGGGTGTACGAACAGTGCAATATGGGTGTGATAATAGTGGAATATAGATGGGATGGGGTGTACGAACAGTGCAATATGGGTGTGATAATAGTAGAATATAGATGGGATAGGGGTGTACGAACAGTGCAATATGGGGGTGATAATAGTAGAATATAGATGGGATAGGGGTGTACGAACAGTGCAATATGGGGGTGATAATAGTAGAATATAGATGGGATAGGGGTGTACGAACAGTGCAATATGGGTGTGATAATAGTGGAATATAGATGGGATAGGGGTGTACGAACAGTGCAATATGGGGGTGATAATAGTGGAATATAGATGGGATAGGGGTGTACGAACAGTGCAATATGGGTGTGATAATAGTGGAATATAGATGGGATAGGGGTGTACGCACAGTGCAATATGGGGGGTGATAATAGTAGAATATAGATGGGATAGGGGTGTACGAACAGTGCAATATGGGGGTGATAATAGTAGAATATAGATGGGATAGGGGTGTACGAACAGTGCAATATGGGGGTGATAATAGTAGAATATAGATGGGATAGGGGTGTACGAACAGTGCAATATGGGGGTGATAATAGTAGAATATAGATGGGATAGGGGTGTACGAACAGTGCAATATGGGGGTGATAATAGTGGAATATAGATGGGATAGGGGTGTACGAACAGTGCAATATGGGGGTGATAATAGTGGAATATAGATGGGATAGGGGTGTACGAACAGTGCAATATGGGGGTGATAATAGTGGAATATAGATGGGATAGGGGTGTACGAACAGTGCAATATGGGGGTGATAATAGTGAAAAATCTGTGGGTGTTAAATCAGTGTAGTAACAATGTAGTGTTGGTGTAATATAAGTGTTTCATGGGTGGAATAACGTAGTAATATGTGTGTAATACAGCTGTAATAACAATGTAATAGGGGTGTAATAACAGGGTCACATGGGTGTGATGTAGCAAATAGCAATCTACACTTTGGGTGGAGGTAGGAAACAAAACGCTGAGGATTCAAAACAAATAGATCCACAAAACCACTTTTTAAATCTCTCTTTGAATGCCTAGTGCCTGCTTTGCCTTCTGCATCTCGCCAAATACAACCTGTGTTTGCCTCTTCGCACCGTAGCGTATAGAGCGCCAACCCGCCCGTAAAACAAACCCGCAACCTTTAAAACTTTACTTCACTGCCTCTCATGCCTTTGTCCTCACCAGAGCAACTTGACCGTGTGGAGGAGGGCATGAACAAAGTGAACGCAGACCTGAAGGATGCCGAGAAAAATTTAAAAGATGTAGGAGTATGCTGTGGGCTGATATGCCCCTGTATTGAAAAGTAGGTACCAGCAGGGGCTCTGAGCTCTTGAGTGTCCAGTGCTGGTGGTGGTGATGTTTAATGTCTCTCTTGTCACAGTCAATGTCTTTTTTTTGTCTTTTCTCCTTTGTTCCCCCTCTCTACTTCCCCCCCCCGTCCCTACTCCTCTCTCTCTTTGTCTTCTTCTCTCTCACGTGCTTTCGTCCTTTTGCTGGGAAATATGACAATGTGTTGGTAATCAGAACAACTGGAGCGTATCGAAGAAGGGATGGACCAAATCAATAAGGACATGAAGGATGCAGAAAAGAATTTGAACAATCTAGGACAGTTCTGTGGTCTATGTTCATGTCCCTGTAACAAGTAGGTGCTGCCCGACTGCATGTGTTTCTCCTGCTTCTGGTGTGTAGAAACAGGCCCTTATAGCCGCAACAACACACTCTCGGAGCAGGCAACCAGCATGTGTGTGTGTGTGTGTGTTGGGGTGTTGGGTGAGCATGCATGAACAACACACACATCTGCACAACGCCACTTTATTTGCTGTTTTCATCAAAAGCCCTTCATTCATTGGATGAGACTTCTTTACCTTTCAGCAGGTCAGCTTCAGCGTGGATCTGGAAAATGGCGTCCGCCGTCCCTCCCCTCCCAAAACCCCACCTTCAAAGTCCAACCAAAGAATAAATCAACTATAGTGGCCTTCTCTGCTAAATTACTCATGTGAATTTCATCCATTTTGCTGGAAAGCTGTTGGTGTTTTAAATGCTTTTACATGAAGTAATTGCTTTACAAGAGGCTCTTGCAGTAAGAAAGTTATCTGATTTTAAGTCCATCTAAAGAATAAATCAACTAGTGGCCTTTTCTGCCAAATTATTTATCTGAATTGTAAACATTTTGCTGCAAAACTCTGGTATTTTAACAGTTTTTTTTAACTAGAGTAACTTCTTACAAAGAGCTCTTTTAAATTAAGACCTTTATCATACAGTAGTTCCTGGTGTTTTTAAAAGAAGACGTGTTTACTTTATTTAGCTCACAGACCTTAGAGGTGCATCGTTTCATTCTTCATTTAATTCCCTGCAGGAAAACAAGTTTTTGCCACAACCTCAAGCTATTCCTTTTTTGGGAACCTGTTCATAATTGATTAACTTTGTATATATATAACCATTAGCATAGGTCAGGATGCACTCTGATTACAAATGTGAAGGTGATTTAGTTCATAAATAACAGTCAATTAAAGGTTTTAACTATAGGCTGCCTTATTTGGGGCTAGATTTGAATATAAAATGATATTTTGGATGTTTTTATGGGCTTTTTTATGAGTTTCTTATCCATAGTCAGTCTACCAACAGTACTGACTATGGATAACGCAAGGGATTATGGGATATGTAGTTTGGAGAGTACCAACAAGAAGCCAAGCAAAGTACAGTAGTGGACAGGGGCATCAGATAATCATATTTTAACCACATTAAAAAACTGTTTAATTGTAGAATTTGTATTGCGTCCACAGCAGTACTTTGTTTTCTTCTGTGCCTTAAATCCTGTACAACATATACTGTTTACTAAACATCCAAACTGTCCCTGAAAACCCTTTCAATCCTGTATCTGTTCTTTAAAAGCTTTCACATGAAGGTGGATTCCCAATGCCTGTTTTAAACGGTTTGATTTCTCTGGCCCTAAACAGCCAAATCCTGCGTATTATTATAACACTATTGAACCAAGACATGTGCTGTATACAGTTGTTATTATCTCAGAGCTATAGAAAACACAAGTGGCGGACAAACCAAGAAACACAAACTTTATACAGTTTCTCAGACATTCATCTGGGAGTAAAAGAAGCGATGCCTTCATTTCAGTGCAGTATTTTCCCGGTATTAGTTTTGAGTATGCTGCTGGGTCTGTTAATTACGCCCAAAGGTCTGTGTTCAGATCAGACCTCGAATGGTCCATTATATACTTTCTTTTGCTTTTGTAGGGATGCACGATACTGGATTCCTGCCTGATAACGATAACCAATACTTTGCAATTAATTTCAGTCGATGCTAATACTGAAATAAGCCTTTTCCACCTTATTCCTGAGAAAATCGAGCCTATCCTGTAGGGGAACAAACACAATGTTATGCCTACTGTTTAATACCTATGTATGCATTTTGGTGCACAACAAATATGCATCTAGGAGTGTGTAACGAGGGTGTAAGGAGGGTGTAAGGAGTCTGTTAGGAGTGTGTAAGGAGGGTATAAGGAGTGTGTAAGGAGTCTGTTAGGAGGGTGTACGGAGTCTGTTAGGAGGGTGTAAGGAGGGTGTACGGAGTGTGTAAGGAGAGTGTAAGGAGGGTGTAAGGAGTCTGTTAGGAGGGTGTAAGGAGGGTATAAGGAGTGTGTAAGGAGTCTGTTAGGAGGGTGTACGGAGTCTGTTAGGAGGGTGTAAGGAGGGTGTACGGAGTGTGTAAGGAGTCTGTTAGGAGGGTGTAAGGAGTCTGTTAGGAGGGTGTAAGGAGGGTGTACGGAGTCTGTTAGGAGGGTGTTAGGAGGGTGTACGGAGTGTGTAAGGAGAGTGTAAGGAGGGTGTACGGAGTCTGTTAGGAGGGTGTAAGGAGGGTATAAGGAGTGTGTAAGGAGTCTGTTAGGAGGGTGTACGGAGTCTGTTAGGAGGGTGTAAGGAGGGTGTACGGAGTGTGTAAGGAGTCTGTTAGGAGGGTGTAAGGAGTCTGTTAGGAGGGTGTAAGGAGGGTGTACGGAGTGTGTAAGGAGAGTGTAAGGAGGGTGTACGGAGTCTGTTAGGAGGGTGTAAGGAGTGTGTACGGAGGGTGTAAGGAGTGTGTACGGAGGGTGTAAGAGCCTCCATATGTGTTTGGTTCAGATCTTGTTTATTCTATAGCTCTCTGGTCGTCCCACTCATGAAACACTTTGTGATTCCTGTGGTTTTGTCTCATCTGATCTCTTTAAAGTTCAAATGGCATTAAAAATAATTCTTGCTTGTTGTTATAAACTGGAGCACCTGATGGGTCTGATGGTTTTCCACCTCAACAACAACAACAACAACGACGATGCTGCATAGAAGGTCTTCTGCAACTGGAGAATAATCGATTAGTCGTTTGGTTTGAAAAAATGACATTTAGGGTTTCTCAAAGTCCAAGATGATGTCCTGACATTTCTTATTTTGTCCAAAACTCCACATATTTATACGTTTTTTGTCATAGGAGTAATGAAAACAAAAAAAATCACATTTCAGAAACTGCAATCTAAAATGTTGTTATTAAATTCTTTAAAAATGACAAACTGAAATCGTAATACTTTTCGATTAATTCAAAATTAACTAATCAAATATTTTCTTGGTTAATCGACTAGTTGTTTGGATTATAAACATAAAACATGTCAATTTTTGATTACCAAAGCCAAAGATTACGCCCTTAAATTGTCAAATTGTGTCCAAAACTGAAAAAAAATTCAGTTTTCTGTCATTTAGGAGAAAATCAATCAGAAAATATTGAAGTTTTTTAACCTGAAATCAAATAATTGTGCCTTTTTTTCCCGTAGAAAATAACTCATTGTGACTCGTTAGGATTATTAAATTATTAAATATATTAATTAGTGTTTCCCAAAACATGCTGACGTTTCTTATTTTGTGTAAAAAGTCAAAAATAATCCGTTTTCTGTCAATAAGGAGTAAATAAGTCAGAAACTATTCAAATGTTTTAAGCTGAAACCAAATCATTTTGCCTTTTTTTCCCCTTAGAGAATAACCCGTTGTGACTTGTTTGGATTATTAAATTATATTAAATATAAACGAGTGTTTGCCAAAACCATTGAAGACATGCTGACATTTCTTATTTTGTCTGAAAACTAAAAAATATTCAGTTTTCTGTCATTTAGGGGAAAATAAACCAGAAAAATCCAATAATTTCACTTAAAAAATTACTCCAACCAAGAAAGTTTTTTTACCTTTTGACGACTAATCGATTATTGCTTGCAGCTCGGTGTCTTTCATCAACAAATTGAACAAACACAACTTTTAAACCCTCTTCTGTCATTGTGTTGTGCTCAGTGGTGACCGCTGCTCATCAGATACTCCATGCATAATAAAATAAAGAATTAGATTTTCCTATTTGACTGTATACAGTGTATCGCCCTGTTATCCATCCAGATGAAATGAAGGGCTCATCACTGATAATGCATTAACTCTCCTGCATGCAAAGTTTCATTGTGTTTTCTTCGACTGATCTAACTGTCCGGCTTTCTTTCAGTAGAAATGTGTTCCTGTTCCTCTTTACATGTTTTCCCCTCCCTACGTTGTGTTTTATCCGCCTTGCATGTCCTCTCACTTTGCGTGTGTGTGTGAGTGTGTGTGTGTGTGTGTGTGTGTGTGTGTGTGTGTGTGTCCTCTGTCCTTATGTCTATGTGTCTGTGGGCTCCTCTCTGTGTGCTACTGGGAGATGGTTTTCTGGAGTCTTGGACCGTGATCACTTTCTAACACGAGCCACATGAGAGCGTGTTGTTCTCTGATTCAATTGATCTGCATGTTGGATCAATTATTCGCAGACTGCTAATGCATGTTTGTACGTTTATCAAGCTTCTTAGAGGGCTAAGTGGCCGTGGGATTCAATGCATTCAAAACATATAATTATGTATATGTTTAAAAGTGAATTGCCAGAAAATATGCACTTACATAACCATGCATATACACACTATAGTGCACACACACACACACACACACACACACACACACACACACACACACACACCACACACACACACACACACACACACACACACACACACACACACACACACACAGTGAGCAGCAGTGGTGGAGGAAGTATTAAAATATTTTACTTCAATAAAAGTAATATTATATATATGTTTTTTTTAGGGTGAAATTCTTATAAATGATTCTATTATTTAAATATAGTATTATAGGTCGTTTTTATGACTAACAAATAGATTTAAGAGCATTTTAATGTGGTACTTTTAGTTAATTTTTAACAATTCATAAATAATTTTGTTTACAAAAGTAGTACAGTACTGCATAATTTAATATCTGCATATGTGTTTTTATATGTAAAATAAGCTAGTAACAAAACACGTTATATACATATAGTGCAATAAAAAGTACAATATTTTCATCTGAAACAATTAAAAAGTAAGTGTAAAATCGAATTAATATTGAAAAAACTTAAAGGTGGGGTAGGTAATTTTGGAGAAACCAGCTCGAGTGCGCCAGAATTTGAAAATAAACAGCCCCTTCCTCACAGAGCCCCTCCTCCAACACACGCGCACATGACCAATGAGGGCACGAGATAAGTTTGTGCCCAGATGGAAGGCTGACAGGCAGGTAGGCCATCCAGTTACTTTAGCCGGCTCAGATGATTGGTCGTGCTTTTTACAGCGCCACGGCTTCCACAGATGACATTTTTTAATGTATTTGTTGTCAAAGCACTTCAGATATTCATTGCTATCGGGATGTTAAGAGAATTCCATGGAATATAACAACAAGTGTATCTCGAGCCGGTTTCTCAAACTTACCTACCCCACCTTTAAGTAAAGTACCTTAAACTTTTACTTAATATACTTAGTTGCATTGCAACACTGCTGACAGCATTCACTCACACTCCAACATCACTACTAGTAACAAAGAAGTACACACATACTTAAAATGAACACATACAATATGAATGTATAAACACGAACACACAGTACTGCAGTTCCTCTGGCCCTGACTGTAAAATAAGCTGGTGACAAAGCATGTTAAATGCATATAGTGTAACAAAAGTACAATATTTCCTCCTGAATTTATAACATTTTTTACAAAGTCCCGTTTAAATTCCAAAACTGCAGTACTTAAGTAAATATACTCAGTTACATGCACACTCTGATCACAATCAGCCATAAATTACACTCACAAACAAGTAAGCACACATACTTAAAATGAACACATATAAATATATAAACACAAACACACAGTACTGCAGTTGCTTTGGTCCTAATGGAGTGTGTGTGTGTGTGTGTGTCAGGTTTAAAGGCGGGGGCCAGGCCTGGGGAGCCAATCAGGACGGAGTGGTGAACGCTCAGCCAGGAGCCCGAGTCATGGACGAGCGCGAACAGATGGCCATCAGCGGGGGCTTCATCCGCAGGTAAGAGAGAGTGTGTGTGGGTGTGTGTTTGTGTGTGTGTGCCACTGTGTAGCTGGTTTCTATTTGTGTGAGTGCATGTGTACAGTGTGAGATACTGTAATACACGTACGACTCTCCATACAACTATAATTATAGGGAATTATATAATGGGTGTTATACAGGAATATCTGCAGGTAAGCAGTGTGTGTGTGTGTGTGTGTGTGTTTGTGTGTTTGTGTGTATGTATTATCCTTGCAAGAATGGAAGTAGTCATCACACACTGTAATCGTATTAATATGTGAAAAATAAGTGAAAAGCCAACACTCCAGTGGCGAACCGTCAGGGCCTTCAAGGTATTCAGAGAATACCCTGGAACACTCAGATAAAACAAACAAACAATCGATTTAATTATATGAATAAAATGTAATAAAATGTATATAAAATGAATAAATGAGAATCGTATCTGTGTTGTTGATCTGTAATATTACAGTGTTACGTTGATTTGTTTGTCCTTCTCGGACCATGCACTACGCATTTCAGTGGTTTTGTGTTAGAAAAGAAAGCAACCAATCAGATCTTGTTCTGGGTCTCTGGGTAGAATATCCTTCACCAAGGTATTCTACATCCTTGATCGAAGGCCCTGGCCGTGGCTCTGAATGAGAGCGTGCGTTTGGACTGACAGTTTGATCAACCAATCATATATTGATTTGTAGCCAATGGGCGTGTTCTTTCAGAGTTCCCCTCGGTTCCAGGGTATTCTAGAAGGCCCGCTAGTTAACTGGCTCGAGACAGAGGACCTAGACGAATGCCACGAAGCAATTCATGCCGTTTTATTGTTTTTAACATTGAAATGACAAGTGCAACAAGTGAAGATGATGTTGTTGCTGCCTTTCATGTTGTTGTTGTGTTGTGACGGTGTGAACCGTGTCAGTTGTGATAGACACGGTTCTCCACTGCTTGAATCCTTCAAAAAATCTCTCAACACTCACTTATTCACTCTAGCTTTCAAACTCTGATCAACAGCTCTGATATGGGAAGAGTACATACAGTATTTCCCCAACAGATACTGTAATACACATACGACTCTCCATACATATATAATTATAGGGAATTATATAATGGGAGTTATCCAGGAATAGGTTGCCCATTTTCACCTTTCAAGAAACTTTACAACATAATTACGGTGACTTTATAACGGTATTATTATCGTATTGTTCCCCTTGGTAATGATTGCTATTAAAACAGAACAATAAGGACACATTCTGCTCAGTCTGCGGCAACAAGAAGTCAGCGTTCATCAAAGAAAGCAGTGTTTTATATATTTATATAGTACAAAATAACAATAGTACCAGGAGAATTATCAGGGTTTCTTTATCCAGCTCACTTTTCGGTTCCTTGCTCTCCATGGAACTGAATCTTTAGTAGTACTATATATTTAAATTACATTACTATTAACGAGTAAGTGTGCCTTGTTGTTTAATCCTCAAAGGTCACAATATATTTACATTTAAATAATTAACCCCTGTTCCTCACTAGGGACATTTGGGGCTTTTTCATTTTAAAGGGGCCCAAATATGCTCCTTGGGGTTCTCCCTTTCCTGTAGCGTGTTATATAGGTTTCCCCTTCAGAGGGAAAACTCAGTAATAAGTCTATAATTAACAAAATACGGACCACCAGACCCCATAAAACCCATTAGAACCATCATGTCTTGATCTCACTTTAAAGCACTGCTGCTGTATTATGTGTTTGATGAAAAACATTATAATTTGTGTTGCTTCTAATCCTGTAAGTCCGTTATAACCAGTCCTTCCTTGTTTCTCAGGGTAACGGAGGACGCCCGGGAGAACGAGATGGACGAGAACCTGGAGCAGGTGGGCGGGATCATCGGGAACCTGCGCCACATGGCTCTGGATATGGGCCAGGAGATCGACACCCAGAACCGCCAAGTGGACAGGATCATGGAGAAGGTACGGCACAAATAGCCTCGCAAAACATTTATTTTATTTAAAGGTCACCTATTATGCAAAATCCACTTCTACATCAGCATGTGTCCCCTCTTCTTCATGTCTTCTCTACATCAAACATGTGTCCCCTCTTCTTCATGTCTCTTCTACATCAACATGTGTCCCCTCTTCTTCATGTATCTCTACATCAACCATGTGTCCCCTCTTCTTCATGTCTCTTCTACATCAACATGTGTCCCCTCTTCTTCATGTCTTCTTCTACATCAACATGTGTCCCCTCTTCTTCATGTCTCTTCTACATCACCATGTGTCCCCTCTTCTTCATGTATCTTCTACATCAACATGTGTCCCCTCTTCTTCATGTCTCTTCTACATCAACATGTGTCCCCTCTTCTTCATGTCTCTTCTACATCAACATGTGTCCCCTCTTCTTCATGTCTGCTTCTACATCAACATGTGTCCCCTCTTCTTCATGTATCGTCTACATCAACATGTGTCCCGCTCTTCTTCCATGTCTCTTCTACATAAACATGTGGTCCCCTCTTCTTCATGTCTCTTCTACATCAACATGTGTCCCCTCTTCTCCATGTCTTCTTCTACATTCAACATGGCTGTACCCCTCTTCTTCATGTCTCTTCTACATCAACATGTGTCCCCATCTGTGGAAAGAGACTCTGAAAGTTTCAGGAACAAGATTCTCGCTCTTTTTGTCCTGATCCATAAAAACCTGTCTGAAAATGAGCTGATCAGATGTTGGCCACTTTATGATGTCATAACGATGTTTTGTCTTGTGTAACCATTAGCCAATCAGCAACCAAGGTAACCCCCCCCCCCCCCCCCCCCCCCCCCCCCCCCCCCCCTATCACCTGAATCTCCTCTAGAGCACCATTGAGTTCTTTGTAACCAAATCTCTCTCAGAGGGGCGTGGGGAGGGGCTCCTTGTTTTCATCTAAAGTAACAGACAGAGAATCAGCACTTTGGAAACAGGGCTGAAACAGAGGGGGATTATGGGTAATTTGGTGTTTCAGCCAATCAGAGACAGGTTCTGTATATATCTGAGACCTGTAATATGTTGATGACAAACAGTATAATTGGGGACCTTTAATGGGAGAGGGTGCAAGAAACATCTTCAGCAACTTGACAACACATGCAGCTTTTAGAAAACATTCAGCATCTTGAGGGAAACATGTGCAGCGTTTACTAGAAGTAGTAGAAACCAAACGCTGCAAATACAAAACGCTGAAGAAGCTCAAAACACAACGGAGACCAGGGGACACTAAAAAGTGACGCACACTGCTGGGAGACCAGGGGACACTAAAGAGTGACGCACCAAGCTGGGAGACCGGGGGACACTAAAGAGTGACGCACACAGCTGGGAGACCAGGGGACACTAAAGAGTGATGCACATGGCTGGGAGACCAGGGGACACTAAAGAGTGACGCACACAGCTGGGAGACCAGGGGACACTAAAGAGTGACGCACACAGCTGGGAGACCAGGGGACACTAAAGAGTGACGCACACAGCTGGGAGACGAGGGGACACTAAAGAGTGACACACACAGCTGGGAGACCAGGGGACACTAAAGAGTGACGCACACAGCTGGGAGACCAGGGGACACTAAAAAGTGACGCACACAGCTGGGACGGAGACTAATCAACTGTCTATGTTGTTGGAAACTCACCTAAAATGTTTTATCTGCTTATTTTAGTATATTATGATTATTTCCGATAATATGGCTTAAAGTTAATTCCTCAACATCAACAAGCCCTCCAGTCCCAGCTGTTTGCGTCACTTTTTAGTGTCCCTGAATAAAATGTGAAAACCTCTTCAACTGGTGTTAACCCTATTTAAGGGAATCCAAACGAATAACAGAAAACGATAACGATAACGGGTCCCAAGGTGGGTAGATCTGCGGACGAAAAGCTCTGGGGGGGCAAACGGCTCCATGTCTATGCCCTATACGACCATTTCCTGATAATGATGAAGCAATAGCCCCGCCTCTCCCACCTCTCCTGTTCATAGATCAGCTGCTGGGCTCTCAGGAGATGGGGAGGAAAAGAGAGGCTCCGTTTTTTATTATTATATAGAGTCGTTATCAATTTGTTTTAAAGCTCAATAAATAACAAAGAAGACCTTTGACCGGCACTTTTCTAATTTTGTCCGGAAGATTTAAACTTTAATGGATATGTTGACCGGAAACTCTGCCGCACGGTCCCCTTGTCCCTTTGAAGAGGCGGAGAGGTGGGTGTTTTTCATCTGCTGGTGGACTAACCGGAGAGATTCACAGCAGGAGCACACGCTTGCCTCGGGGAGGGAGAACAAGAGCCAGAGCGTCCACCGCGGAGAATAAACAGAAGGGCAACCATGGCAACCATGCGGGAAGTCTTCTTCGCTGCTTTTGTGGCAGAAGTACAGCGCCACTTACCATTTCCGTCCACACAGCGGCGTTGGAAGCTTCTTCCCATTCACTTTGAATGGGGTGATGTCACTTTTCGCCGAACTGCATTGTGGGAAGCAGAGCGGAGCTTTCCTGGCGTTTCAGGCTGCAAAAGTTGAGCAATGTTCAACTTTTGAAGTTGAAGCTTTCGGTGGAAGCGTCAGCCAATCAAATGTTATGCCAGTACAAGCTCTAGCCAATCAAAGCGCTGCTTGTGTATCAAAGCCGCTGTGTGGACGGGCCGTTACAGGCACTCCAGGCCGTTACAGGCACTCCAGCGCTTTCGATCGGTCTCGTGTGAACGGACACGTTTCTGGTGCCTGTTGCGTGTGGACGGAAGACTTTTTTGATATCGAATTCGGTTTGTTTGCGTTACCGTTCTCGTGTGGCTCCAGACTAAGACTCATTCCTGCATTACTCTGTAGTCACATTCATGGCAAATGCACCAGGTGTTGAAATAAACATGTATTTCTCTTTAAACTCGCCCCCCTCTTTAACAACAGCTAAACCATGTGTGTCTCTTTCAGGCGGACTCCAACAAGACCCGGATTGACGAGGCCAACCAGCGCGCTACAAAGATGTTGGGCAGTGGCTAAGCTGCAGAGAAAAGTGCTTTTAACCCTCTTCAACCCCACCACTCACCCCAACATATTATCAACACCAACCAGCCCAGCCCTAAACCCTCCAACACCAATCCCCAATGCCCGACTGCAAAACCATGCTTTTATTGTGAAACTTGTAGAGGTTTGCACACATGCACATATCATAAAACCTCTGCCCTCCCCCCTTCATCTCAATAACTCATGTCACTTCCTTTCCCTCCCAAATCGTTGTCAATGTTGTTCTGTGTTGTCGCTCTTTTGATTTTGCTATGAATTATAGTTCTGTTACACATCGATCACTCTGTACATAGTGCTTCTTATGGAGCTTCTAGATCCTGTCTGCTTCATCATTCTTTTTTTAAGTCTGTGTGTAATATAAACTGTATCCCCAGTGTCAGTATATGTGATGCTATACATGATAAAGGCCACAGTGATTTGCAGTGAACATATAGTGAACATACAGTCCCTCACAGCTTGTTAAAAGTCAATACCTCTGCCGATACTCAGTTTGAGCCGTTTGGAGAAACATGGCTTTTTGTTCCTGACTGTTAGTGCATTACTGTTTTAACAACTCAATTGATGCGGCAGTATTAACGCAGTTTGATGCCATTGATTGTATAATTTCTATATTTTTCCTCAGGAAGCTAAATCGGACCAATTCAAAAGCAAAGGGTTGAATATTTCATTGATTTTTTGTAATTCATTAAATCTGCGTCATGAGGCTCAGTGCATAATTTGTTGATGGGACAAACCATCAGGAAAATATTGGGCATTAACATTAATAGCTAACATTTTGATTGATAAGAAAATGAGCTTTGCTAAAGGGTAGAGTTTAATTACAACCTTTGCAAAGTTACATGTTGGGTCACAACCTCTTTACATCCCAGCTTTACCCACAATTCAACCCAAACAATATCTAGTGCATTAAGTGTGTTATGCATGTCCATCTTCTGCCAGAAGACGCTGAATTATTCATTTATTCAGTCAAAAATAATCCTAATATGGAAACCGCATGCTACATATTTAGGCCACACAGAAGAGAGGTTCATATTTATCTGCAATATAGTGCCACTCTTTTTTTGTTTCATGTCTTCTTAACCTTTCCAGACTGTGATGATCACTGTAAAATAAAACCTTGGAAAATGCCAATAAATCCATCATAACTGTAGGACCAAACTGAGCCTGCTTTCTTTGTTCGTGAATACTCATACCACTGCAAACATGGACCAAAATCAAGTTTGTCAAAAAGAGAAAAGGCAGAAAAAATATCTTAATTAAAGGGGACCTATCATGCACAATGCACTTTGTGATGTCTTTTCTACATCACCATGTGTCCCCGGTGTGTCAGGGAACTCACGCAGCGTCAGAAAATAAAACCCTCTCTCTTTTCCTCCGTACCCAAATCTCTAAAAACGGGGAACAACAGAGCTGATCCAGATTTGCGTCCGATATGATGTAATATCTGAAATGTGGACCCACGGGCCAATCAGAAACGTTGCTATCAGAAACAATGCCCGACTGTTTTGGACGTAATATGGTCGGTGTTTACATTAGCATCGCTAACACTCAGAGCTAACCTGTACTGGAGAGCATGTGGGTGAAGAAGCAGGAAGTAAAAAGGAACTCACCTTGTGGTATAACCGGCAAGAGAGAAAGCCTTTGAGCTCCATACTGTTTCAGATCCTTGATAATCCATGATATGGAGTTTCATCACGGCAGCATTTAGTTTAGACAGTAGCTGCCGGGTCCCGCATGAGCTCAGACCCCTCCTTTTTTTTTTTTTAAGCTTTATCCCCAAATCAGCACTTTTGAAACAGGAAGTGAAATAGAGGGATATGAGGCATGGCTAGAATGGGTGATCTGTTTGGTATTTTGAGCAAAACACTTCATAGACATGTTTTTTATATATTTTTATATATCTGAGACCTACGCTATTGCCTAAAAATAGCATGATAGGTGACCTTTAAGCTTTTTATTTTGATGTGTGACATATAGGATATGCATGCTTCAGTTGGGTTCAGGCAGACACAAGTAACGTTATTTTAGGAGAGAAAGCTATTTTTCTTAGGGATGATCGCACTGAAATATCACTGATATGTTCAATATCCAGACCGTGCTATTACTCTAAGTGACATTAGGCAATTTACAAACTTAGTATAATGTTATTGTATAGAAGGTTAGAGGTCAGGGAGCTTATCCTGACCACTCGTGAGTGATCTTAAACTACTCCTCTAAAGTCCTGATTTTGAAGTGCTACCTCGGTAAAAGTAGAAAAGTGCCTTACAATATACTAATAAGTACAAAAAGCACAATGACCTATTTAAGAATAACATTATATTCAAAATGTTACCCAAGTAAAACAGCTAAATGTACTCTAATGTAAGTAAAAGTACTCCTTGTGCAGTTTATTCACAGTATGATATTATTATCCTTTTTTTATACATATAACGGCATTTTAGTATTGTAGTTTGTCAATGTGAAGCAAATGTAGATCTTATAAATACTGTCTAGATTAGAAGTACAGTACTGCATTATACCACATCAGCATATCATGGGTTTTTGATATGTTAGAAGTACAATATTTACAATAAGTACAAATACAAAGTAGCTATCAAGGGAAATACTCAAGTAAATAAAAAATATGTCCAAAGAAATTGCAATACTTGAGTAAATGTACTTATGATACGATATGATAATACTTTAATGGTCAGATCAAGTCTGGAATTTGATTGACAAATAAATGAAAAACAAACAACAAACATTTAACATAACATCACAACCACTGAGAGAAAACATGATTAGGTTATTATGGTCTGCTGAGTCACAAAGTCTCTGGCAGGGTTGAGCAGATGGATGGAGCAGGTGGAGCAGTTTGGTTTTGTGTTTTAGTGTTCATTTAAACTAATAATCTTTGTTTTCGATGTGGCACAAATCTGATCATATCATCAGTGTTTTAATCAGGAATTAAGTCAACTTTATCGTCAATCTTTCACATGTGTACAGACAGAGATCCCTCTCATCATAATTTGATGTGTGGTTATCATAGTCCAATGATTGAAAATGACATCTAGGATCACGAGATATACATATCACAAAAACAGTTGAGTATTATAAGGTTGGCACAGAAAGCCTGCGCAACTTCATAATCTTTATTTATAAGATATTGACAGATTTAATTCAGAATATTGCCAATTTTAGACATGCACACTTTGTGTATTCCTGCTTTTAACAAACGTTTGTATTCGGGACCGTTTCTGACAATCCCGAATACAAAACTACAAATATATATAAAAATATGTATACAAATATGCATATCCTACACACAATCAACAGGCACATTTATACATATGCACACATTAAGAGATAAATAAAAGCACAACAATTAATATCTACAAATTAGCAGTCACTTCAATCAATCAATTCTGCCACTCTTTACCATGGTTCAAATGTGCAATGTCACCACCAGTATTTGATGCGGAGAGGAAGAGAGAGGGGGAGGAAGAGAGAGAGAGGGGGAGGAAGAGAGGAAGAGGGGGGAGGAAGAGAGGAAGGAAGAGAGGGGGAGGAAGAGAGAGAAAGAGACAGTGGGGGATATAGAGGTGGAAGATGTGCACATTACACTATAGGACATCTCCTCTGTGGTGCCCTGGGCTTAGAGCGGATTAGAGGTTACACGTCACTAAGAACACTGACACACACACACACACACACACACACACACACACACACACACACACACACACACACACACACACACACACACACACACACACACACACACACACACACACACACACACACACACACACACACACACACAGTAATCCGGCCATACCTTGGTTACTTGCATTGCACGACCCCTGTGTAAGCATGTGACGTGTTTGCATACAGAGAAAGAAAAAGAAAATGGATGTTTGTTGTCATCCATATTAAAAGAAAACATTAGAATTTTCCATTTTATATGACATTATTTAAGCCTAAAATGATTACATCCTTTTTTTCCAAGGGAGTCTGTCAGTTCATCTGCTCCTCACATGAATGTATTATTATTATTATTATTATTGGAGTTATTTCATGCATGACCCATAAATGAAATAAACCTGGGTGCAGGAAAGCCTATATTTGTATACCAAGAGCTCCCTCTGTTGGTGTAAACTGGGCAGTGGAGTTGCTCAACAAATTAATGATAAATAACATTTATTTTGTGGCTTTCTTCAAGTCAATAATACAACCCTTACGATTTTTATAAAATTTCAAAAATAGAACAGAAAAATAGAACAGAAAAAGAGAAAACAAGTCAATACAACCTATGACAAATTACTAATATATATATACAGGGGAATATGCAAGGTTGTCAGGTTTTTGTATGTACTGTAGGAATGGCTCACACCTGAGGAATTTGCCTTACATGGTGTATCCGTCAACACAGTTAAAGAAGAGTAAAAAGTAGGAAAAACATTAAAAAAAACTAATCATATGTTAAGATATGGAAAATTATTTACATTAAATCTGGATATACCAAGGAACTACATACAGCATACAGAATAAAAGTGTAAAAGCACTCAGAATAATGTGCAGTATAGTTATGGAAAGTGTATGTGTTAAACATGGTGAAAATATGTTCGAACATATATATATATATATATATATATATCTCACAAATCATCACATTTTGTTGACCAGATTTAACCGTGACTGTAACAAGAGAACGTCCAATTGTATGTTTTGAGCTGTACTGTACTGTACCCAATAAACAAGCTGTTAATAAACTTTTCAATCAATCAATCAATCCACGGAATGAGTTAAACAAGGTTAAGAAACGGACCAATCAGAAGCTGTGACGTAAAACAGACTTCGGCAATCTCCGTCAGTCACGTGACTCTCTTTGCCCCTGTGATCGTGAATCTCCGTCCACAGTCTCCCTCTTTTTTAGACAGGAGGTCGGCTAGCTTCCACTGAGGTACCATGTTCCGAGCCGTTTTCCGACTCTCATCCACCGGGGCCCGGTGCCTGGTCCGGTCGAAACCCTCCATCTCCGGTAGGACCATCCTCTAAACATCTACCGTAAAAATAAACAGCTTCTCTGTTATAAAACTCACTAAAATAAGCTAGTTAGCCTAGCCACCTAGCTTAGCTTCCTCCAGCTGTGTGTAAAGCTAACCTCTGGTGACATTGAGTTATTTTAACGGTTGGCTATCATTATGGTGTTAAATGGAGTATTTTTCTGCGGTTTAACCTCATGTGTTGTATTCTGAATAAAAAGCCGGTGTATTAATTAATGCTAGTAATGTCACGACCTTGTGATGACCCTCCTTAGTTTGTTCAGGAGAGTTAAGAGCCGCAGTGTAAACGCATAGCAACACATTGTCTAACTCAGACCCTATATGTACTTGTATTATGTTTAACATGTGCATATAGTTTATTATGGAAGTCTTGAATTACCTGGGACCTGCCTACGTGACAGCTGGAGGGTGCAATCAGCTCTTATATATAGGGGGTCCCGAAATCTGATAAATTATCAGTTCAAAGACATTGTGTTTGTATTTACCTATTTTTATTTTAGGGCATATGTGTTGAGGAAATTAGATATAAAAGACATACGCTGTACACAATTCAATATGTTCACAGTATTTATTGTCGGTAACACAATAGCTACAGAAAAGGTTTGGCAATAAACGTCTCAGGTTCTTCCAACAATGTCAGACACCATCTTAAAACAAAAATAGTGCCATTGACATGCATTAATAGGGAAATGACACACATGAAATAAAATAAGATTGGAAAATAAAACACTGTACAGTAGAATAAATACTGGTTAGTGTATGTATAACTATGTAAAATATGGCCAATTTTATGTGGGGGAAACTTCTGAAGCAAGTGGAGTCAGGACTCAGAGAGACACGAGGAGAGCTGGAGCTTTGAGGGCAAACACTGACGGTTTATTTGGAGCTTCGGCCAGAGAATTCACAAGACATGTCACGAGCCACGAGTTGACCACACGTTGAGATGCCACAATCAATTCTGAAGAGCCCTCCTGTAGCTCCAGGTTTTAACTAGTTCAGAGACAATAATCAACATTATTCAATAGATAGACTAAACAGCTGAGGACACTGAATCACATTTGTTGTCGCTTATGGCTCGGGGTCATCTGCACCCCGAGAAGGATGTGTTCCAGG